CTGGGTCATGCTGTCATAGAACAGAGCTTTCGTTTGATTGCCTTAGTTGTGCAAAGAAATACGTGGAGAATCAACAGATTTCTAACTTTCAAAGTTTATTTCTTTTTTCTCTGCAAATTTGAATAATGACATATAGCTGTGTCAGTTTTATGTCTTCAATTGTTGTGAATTTCTTTTATGTTAAAAATATGGTTTATCAAATATGATTGATCCTGAAAAGAAAAGATGGTTGTATGATTAATGCATTCTTTTTCAGAAACATTCATGTCAATGATGCAGGGATTGGGATAGAGAACGTTGACAATGGGCCATTTTCAGGATTATTAGCCATTTTCTGAATGGTTAAAATGGGCCACTGCCCTTAGCGCATGTTAACCGAAGACCGTAAAACCTCAAGAAGCTATTGTCAGATCTATGTGAAGGCATGTAGGTCTGGAAATAACAAACCTTCGATTCCTCACATGGGTACAATTTGTGTGAAGCCCATTTCTGGTGTAGTCACACTGCTTCTAATGATATTGCTGGAATATTACTTTAGAAACCAAACTCACTAAACCCACTCGCCATTTTTATTCTAATGTGCTAAATGGCCCATGGCCCCTGCCTTTCCCAATCCCTGATGATATTTAGAAAAATATCTAGCGTTTCAAATGGAAATGTCTATGCAGCACAATTACAGAAACAAGGAAATATCATACGTGCAAATGGAAACTTTCCCTTATCAGAGGCCTAGGTAGCAAGTAACTCATTGATGTTAATGTAATGTGTAAAGAACAAAGACAGCCTTGAAGCTGGAGTAAAACCTCAAGCTATTGTCAGATCTATGTGGAGGCATGTAGGTCTGGAAATAACAAACATATGTCAAAACATCTAAAACCACAATAAATTAAATTTGATTGTTATTTCATTCAAAACTTCACCTGTGAAGATTTTAAAAGTGGTGAGTACTGAGATAATGTATGATCATCTCATTGCGTACATTGATGATCATCACTGGATTATCTCGTCCAGACTAATTTATGCAAACCACCATCATGAATATTACAAACAATAATGCAAAATGTCTGATTGTGAATGATTTTACATGTATGCAGACTTTATAGTAAAGTATAAACTTTGTATGAAATTTAACAAATGCACACAAGACCATGCCGGACCAAAGTCAATTGGAAATATTTAAATGTTTTAAAATAAAACTGATCTAATTTATTGTGGTTTATCCCAACAGAACACAAACTACCATCCTGAAACAATTGGTCAGACTCTTTTCATTCATTCATAGCCACTGACTGACCGATAGAGATTTACATAGACTGCAGCTGGCTGGCCCATGCTAATGTTGCACACTGCTGTCACTGTGTTTAAACCAGACAATGTTCATGTCCACTTTCTGCTTCTAAACACTGGCCGCATGGTTTTTAGCTTGTTATTTGTTTCTTCAACCTAAGGTCAAAGTATAAGCTGGGTGTGTTGTGTTGCCTTGAGAGGACAAGTCAGGATGTTGTGACATTCCTAATGGATGGGAGGAAATGAGCTCGGGGCAGCATGACCTATGGTCACTGAATTTCTCAAGTTTTTGTTTGCATGGTCTCGTGGTCTGACGGTATCATTGTGTTATAAACAGTGATAGTAAGGTGAATATCAGAGCATTAACATGTCAAGGGAACGTCTCTTGTCTCTTAGCATGATATCAGTAGTTTTTGTAGATCAAGGGTTGTGTATTATTAACATCGTAGTTGTCGCTGTATCTTAGCATGATATCACAGCATTGACAAATCATGAGGCCGGTGTTATTAACATGGTACTTGTTGCTGTATCTTAGCAGGACATCACAGCCCTGGCAGATGAACATTTGTGTATTATAAGCATGGTACTTGTTGCTGTATCTTAGCAGGACATCACAGCCCTGGCAGATGAACATTTGTGTATTATAACATGGTTCTTCTTGCTGTATCTTAGCAGGACATCACAGCCCTTGCAGATCAAGGGTTGTGTATTATTAACATGGTACTTGATGCTGAATCTTAACGAAGATCACAACCATAGCAGATCATGGGTTGTTTGATATAAACATGGTATTAGTCGAATTCAGCTTCTTTTTTTCATCCACCTGTGGGATTCCGGGTAAAAATACAGGTCCCAAGCATTTTGTGCTTGTCGTAAGAGGTGACTTAAAATGGATTGTGTTTCTTCCTGTCGGTCACTGACGATTAGAATGAATAATTGTGAGGGGAACGTCTATAATCAACCTCAGGAATGGGAATATGGTTGAAGTTGTCTGTGCTTACTCCAAGGATTTTGGATCTCATTAATCGTTCGTCTGTTGGGATTCCGTTCTTGAGCTGGTCCCAGCAACCAATGCTTCATGTACAAGGTGACAAATGGAACGGCAGACATGGTTGATGGTGTGTCATTGTATCCCAATGAAATAGTTGCTGTTGACGTTATTCACTGGTTGTTAGAATGAGCCTTCAGTAACCCATGCTTGTCGTAAGAGGCGACTAACGGGATCTGGTGGCCAGGCTCACTGGCTTGGTTGACACATGCCATCGGTTCCCACTTGCGCAGATCGATGCTCATGTTGTTGATCACTGGATTGTCTGGTCCAGACTCGATTATTTACAGACTGCCGCCATATAGCTGCAAAATTGCTGAGTGCGGCGTAAAACTAAACTCACTCACTCACTCACTCACCTTTAGGCAGACATTATTACATGCAATCTGTTGTCATATGGCTGAGTATGAGAGTGCTGAATTTAAAAGCAAATTTTGTCTTGGATCTGAATTTGTGCTGGTGCGCTCACAGATGAACCGTCTTCATGTATGCTTTTTCTTAGATGATGTAAGCTGATGGGGCATTTTTGGAAACTAATGGTAGTATTAGCTGTACCAAAAAGCAGTGTCAGAAATTGCAAGCTGGTTCTGGGTGAGGGAATAGCATTGCAATCAGGGGATCATCTTGATCATTATCGGTCAATATTATCATTATGATACAATTTTTCTTATTTTCTAAACACTGCCATAGTTTGGGGTAAAAAAAATGTGAATTTTAGGGAAATTTTAGCATTTTGATGTTGCAATGAAGGTGGAGAAACTGATCGTGGATGTGTGTATCACATCATGATTGAGGTGAGTGAGTTGTTGATTGAAGCCTGCAGACGAAGTAGATGCTAAGTGTAGTTTTATGACCACGTTTGTGTGTCAGGCTTGCGTCAGGCTGGTTCATAGGGGAAGAATTGGTTGAAGGGCACCAGTCTAGGAATGTGAAGAATATAGTCCACTGGTAGTTATGGGGAATGAAACATTAGCATAGCTCTCTAGAGATTTGAACCAGACAGATGTACTGGCTTCAGATGGGAGCATCGATGCTTGGCAGGAATTGGCCATTGGCTTTAGGCCGAACAAATGCATAAAAGAGTGCAAAGGGCAGATGATTTCTGATTCTACATCGTAACACCAAGAAGTGCAGCCCTGTCAGATCAAGGGGTTGTGTTTTATTAACAGGGTAGTAAAGACTAAGTTATCACAGTAGACTGTTAATGTGGTCTGGTATTGACAGAAATCTCAACTTGGCAAGTCTGGTTTGAGCAGATTCCAAAGTAGCCACGTTTCCCAGTCATCCTGTTGTTGTTTAACGCTGCACTCAGCAATATTCCCGCTATATGGTGGCAGTCTGTAAATTATCGTGTCTGGGCCTAGATTTTCGAAGCTCTCTTAGAGCTAAGATAGCCAAAAGTTAATGTTAATGTATGGCACTTTACGACTATCTTAGCTAAAGAGAGCTTCAAAATCGAGCCCAGGACCAGACAATCCAGTGATAACATCGTGAGCATCGATCTGTGCAATTGGGATCACGATGACGGATCTTCACTGGTTTTCAGGAGAGAATACGTTCAACATACTTTCTGAATGGGGGTTAGATTTACTGACGCTCTCGACAGCATTGAACATTGCTTTTTATGTCATTCCCTGGATTAACAGGCTAATTTCATACAGCTGACAAATCGCTGAGTGGGCTTTTAAACAACAATCGAATGTTGTTACGCTACAGTGGTCAGTGCCTGGTCAGGGTGTAGGATTTGTGTGTATCAGATGTGATTCTCAGCATGAATGACAGAGGATGCTTGAAGGATGAGGCAAGCTAGGACATAAAGAGGTGCCAACTCATACAATTTTATCGTATTCATTACGAAAAAGCAACACAAAATACACGCGACAACTGTAGCAGTAAAAATATACGAATTTTTAAAAAAATACATGAAATTAAATTATCAAATAGTATATGTACCATACACAATAAATTGCAACCATTTTTTATTCAGTATCAAGCTATATGTGGATATTTACGACTGATTTTGGTGAGTACGATGTTGATAACAAGTTCTTAGAAATACATCTATCGATTCTTTATTAAATATGAAAATTCTTTGGAAAGGTTAATACTAATTTTGGCCAAAAAATACTACTTTTTTGCTTCAGTTTTTGGCCAAAATACTAATTGGGTTAAATTAGGGTTGGCATCTCTGGACATATGTCATGTGTATGATACAACCAGGATGCTGTATATGTCAATGTGGAAATTTGTCAGTCTTTGATAGTAAACCATGAGAGATTATTGAAATATCATACTGCTTGTAGGTAATGTTTGGGATTGAAAATTTAAATATGACATCTCATAGTGCTTTTGTTTTTTCAGCTAGAACAATTCAGTGTTCACAATTATGGATACAAAGTCAAAGATTTATAGGGTCCTTAGACTTAAATACGAAAGCAGAAAACCTCAAGGAACACAATCAAGCACATACACTATCCCTGTAATTTTGAATGCTGCTCAGAAAGATGAAATTAGGGGTATGGCAAGGTTCACTTGACTCCCCTTTCCTTTCCTTTACTACAGGAGACTGATGCATCACTGAAGAAGAACAAGAGCTGACACAGAAGTTGGGCAAGTTTTAATGATTCTTTTAAGTTTTTCTCACAGCACACCCTGCCTGTTTCAGATAACAGAGCTGTGTGGAGCCAAGCGTCTCGGACATTTTGGTCGCAGTCAGTTCTACATTGCCCTGAAGTTGATAGCAGCGGGCCAGGCAGGTCTTCCTGTCAAACTCGACAGTTTAAACTCAGGTAGGTGATGCTGTCTGGTAGCTTAGCATACACTCCTGTGTGTTGGGAGGAGATGAATATTTCATTGTGACTGTCTTTGTAAATATATGAAATACATTTTTAGCTAGGATTCTGCTGAGCCACTGTGTGCTGGACTGTCACTGTTAGCATGGTTCATATGTGAAATAAGGCATAAGCTCCATTGTTGCTGGGGTGAAGAGTGACTTGGTCACTGTGTGTTAAATGTCTAATACAGATTTAACTAACCTGTGAAGATCTGGATTATTGAATTATCTTCAAGCAATTGGTCTTCAGCAAGCTATGCTTGTCATAAAAGCATTGTATCCCAGTTATTGTAGATTGACGGATCACTGGGGTGGTCATTTACAGACCATTGACTTTGTTGACACATGTATGTCATTGTATCCCAGTTAGGTGACTGTAGATTGATGCTCATGCTGTTGATCACTGGGTTGCATCGTCCAGACTCGATTATTTACAGACCACTGCCATATAGCTGGAATATTGATAGGTGACTAGGGTCTGAGGTGTGTGCAGTGAGTGCTGCTGTTAAACAACAACTGTCTTGACAGTCACTCTGTCACTTTGGAGGGGAACTGTTAATATGTCCAATACGGTATTAGGTTAGGGTCTGAGGTTCACTGTTAATATGAATCTGACTGTCACTGTTAATATGTCCAATAATGTATGGAGGTGTATTAGGTGACTAGGTCTGATGGGTGGTTGTGTGGACTGTGACTGTCACTGTTAATATGTCCAATACGGTATTAGGTCTGAGGTTGTGTGGAGGTTGTGTGGATGACTGTCACTGTTAATATGTCCAATACGATTATTAGGTCTGAGGTCTGAGGTTGTGTGGAGTGACTGTCACTGTTAATATATGTCACTGTTAATATGTAGGTCTGAGGTTGTGTGGAGTGACTGTCACTGTGTATGTTACAATATGGGTCAATCACGGTATTAGGTCTGAGGTTGAGGTTTATTGGAGTGACTGTCACTGTTAATATGTCCAATACAGTACGCATTATCTAGGTGACTGGAGGTCTGAGGTTAGGTTGATTGGAGTGACTGTCACTGTTAATATGACTGTCCAATGTCCAATACTGCATTGAAAGTGACTAGGTCTGAGGTGATGGAGTAGGTGACTAGGTCTGAGGTTGTGTGGAGTGAGGTCTGTCACTGTTAATATGTCCAATACGTCCAATATTGTGGGTCTGAGGTTGTGTGGAGTGACTGTCACTGTTAATATGTCAATAGGATGTATTAGGTCTGAGGACTGTCACTGTTAATATGTCCAATCACGGCATTAGCTCTGAGGTTGTGTGGAGTGACTGTCACTGTTAATATGTCCAATATGGTATTAGGTCTGAGGTTGTGTGGAGTGACTGTCACTGTCCAATACGGTCTGAGGTTGTGTGGAGTGACTGTCACTGTTAATATGTCCAATATGGTATTAGGTGACTAGGTCTGAGGTTGTGTGGAGTGACTGTCACTGTTAATATGTCCAATACGGTATTAGCTCTGTCCTCGTGCTGGCCATAACTCTGTCATTGCCACAGCGACTCTAAGAGGATTGTGGTCTGGGCAATACAGAAATGATTACCTCCATCCACAAGGGACATTAAGTCAAGAGGGTTAGGTTTTACTCATGCCCTTTAGGGAGCTGAATTTGAACAGACATTGGACTTGGTTATTGTGAGAAATTGCCTCCCTAGTTGTAGGTGACTGCCAGTGATGCCTGGAATAACATCTGTAATGATTATTGGAAAATATTATCCCGGCTAGAGTATTTTAATATGATGTCAAAAGATATGATTGAGAAGTGTAAGTGTTGGGAGATTTAGAGATTTGTACCAGTTTGACCTGTTTGGTTTGACTGTATTATAGGAGGATTGAGTATTGATGGGGTAACACTTGTGAATTGCCATGGCAAGTATAATTAAGACGTCAAGCCATGGAGTCATGTCCGTTCTTATTGTCACTGGCACCAATATATGTCATGCATGTAGCCCATAATTACTGTACTGATAAGATAATCAGATTATGGCTTGGAGAGTTCGCAACACAATTGAATTATGTTCCAGAAAAACTGACAACTTTGGAAGGAAAACAGAATCTATGGTAACAGGAGAGGGTGATGAGGGTGGGGGTTGTATCCTCTGGTGAAGATTACCCTTTTGTTAGCATGGGAACTGTTAGTTATATTTTTGTGTTATTTATTTTGTCTTTATCAGTTCATGAAGAATTATTTTTAAGCAGACTGTCACAGACTACACTATGTTAAGACCAGAACAATGTTCATTTTGTACATTATTGTTATTACATACTCTGGTAACCATGGTTACCTAAGGAATATAGCACTTATGAACAAATAACACTTGTTTATGAGTATACTTAAATGTCTGTAAATCAGTACTAATATAGCAGCAGACATCAAGGTTCTCCTTGGTTTGTAACAGCATTTACTGAAAATAGGAATGAGAGTCTTGTAGAAAATGTATATTAATTAGAAAGAGGAACCGGCATTGGGAACAGGAATGTATCAACAGCTATCTCCCATGCTGAGTGAAGGAGGACACCAGAGTGTTAGACACAATAGCAACAGTGAGCTGCTTCCTACTGGGATACAGGGACTGGTATGCTGACATCTCGGGGGAAGCTTCATCCTTGTCACAGATTTGGGTTAAGCTGGATGTGATGTACGGAGGTGTGATGTACTTTATCAAGTGGGGATTTAAGCTGGACACCTGGGACTACCAGTTTTACCGTTATGTCTCATACAGTTAACATAAGCCGTATAGTCTCAGACCAGTAATATTCTGGAAGGACTAGTCACGTGTCCACTTTCACCGTTATGTCTCATATAGTTAACATAAGCCGTATAGTCTCAGACCAGTAATATTCTGGAAGGACTAGTCACGTGTCCACTTTCACTGTTATGTCTCATATAGTTAACATAAGCCGTATAGTCTCAGACCAGTAATATTCTGGAAGGACTAGTTACGTTTCCACTTTCACCGCTATGTCTCATATAGTTAACATAAACCATATAGTCTCAGACCAGTATTATTCTGGAAGGACCAGTATGTCCACTTTCACCGTTATGTCTCATATAGTTAACATAAGCCGTATAGTCTCAGACCAGTAATATTCTGGAAGGACTAGTCACGTGTCCACTTTCACCGTTATGTCTCATATAGTTAACATAAGCCGTATAGTCTCAGACCAGTAATATTCTGGAAGGACTAGTCACGTGTCCACTTTCACCGTTATGTCTCATACAGTTAACATAAGCCGTATAGTCTCAGACCAGTAATATTCTGGAAGGACTAGTTACATGTCATTGTCAACTATCACCTTCACTATTAGATAGTTCTGTGGCAGATCTTGTGTGCAGGTAATTGCACATAATTTCTAACCACACTGTGTGATACAATCATGTGTTCAGCTTGATAATGTAATGGTTTGGTTTTGTATTGTTGCTGGTTTATTTCAACAGTTCTTACACAAATAGTGGTAGTGCTAAGCTGATTTAAACTAAGGACCTAGTCCTTTCCCCAGAGTAAAGTCTGCTGGGTGAGTAACAGCCGTCTGTGCCAACTATTGTCAAGTTTACTAGCCTGAACTGGGTAGTTGGGCATGATTTTCAGTAAATATTGGTCTTGGTTTATTGACTAGCAGAAGCCAATCTTACCACTAGACCATGAGAAAATTTACTAGACAGACAGTAATGGCTTTATGGATGTTATATGGAGCCATCTTCAAGATCAGCCAGCTTTAATTCATGCAGGAAGTCAATGTGAAAACAACTGCTCCCTTATGGCATAATGCAGCCATTCTGTGCCGAAGCTAAGTGTAATGACCATGGGCTTTTCAGCATTCTCTCCCCACAGAAGATACTTGTCATATCTTCCTATGAACCTCTGTTCTAATACGGCCATATTTCCCAGTTCTCGCTGTTGATTGTTGTTGAGTTGTTGAGTTGGGTTTTTGCGTGACATCGGCATTATTCCAGCCATATAGTGACGAGAACAAGTTGGCATTAATAAACATTGTAAGTACATACTCGGAATGAGTTTTATTTAAAAACATATATTCATTACATTGTCATTTAAAAGCAGAAAAAGTCATAGCACCAAATTTAAAGGTAGGCAATTTGTTAGTGACATTTCACAGTTACAATTTATGATAGTCACATTTCACAGTTACAATTTGTGATAGTCACATTACACAGTTACAGTTTATGATACAGATCAACTTCCCCAGGTAGTTCACTATCAGATGATACCAGCGGAGAACAGATCTTTTAGGTTTGTTGCATCATAATGTGAGTCCCTTGCAGATCGATAAGTCCACGCGATTCAAGCAGAATATGCTTGATGGTGAAAACCTCATCGCAGGGGCAAACATGGGGGTCAATCCCCATCCGCTTTCAGCAGATAGTCATGAGTAAAACCAGTTCTCGTAATATTTCCTGGGCGGGAACACAAATTTTCTCCCTTCTTTCTATCCAATAAGAACACGCGGTTACATCGACTTAGGGAGGGGAATAGGTTCTAGTAGAAGCATCACGGAAATTACCGAGGAGCCTTAATGATGATCACTTTTGAAACAACGTGAGCTGATTGTACAACTAAATCTGATTGCAACCAACCCGAATCCTGAACACTCGCGACCGTGGAAGGGCCATTATTAGAACAGAGGTTCAGTAGGAGGATATGACAAGTAACCTCTGTGGGAAGAGAAAGCTTTTCAGGTCCAAGTAACCAATGCTGGTAGTATAATATAGTATTGTGTGGTGTTAGATTCTGCCTGTCTGTGACACCACTTCATGCATATATGTGTAACACAAGGCATATCTTGGCATATGGACCTGTGTGTTGTCCATACAGCCATTCCATGATACTCCAAGTGCATCTGTGTGACATCAAGTGTACCTGGACACATGTTAGTGTATCTGAGATGCTGGTATTGTGTGGTGTTAGATTCTGCCTGTCTGT